AAAAGCGCTGCGAGCGGGCAGCGAAGCGGGCGGGCCGCGAAGCGGGCGGGCCGCGAAGCGGGCAGCGAGCGGGCGGGCGGGCTGCGAAGCGGGCAGCGGGGCGAGCGGGCTGCGAAGCGGGCGGGCCGCGAAGCGGGCAGCGAGCGGGCGGGCGGGCTGCGAAGTGGGCGGGCCGCGAAGCGGGCAGCGGGGCGAGCGGGCTGCGAGGCGGGCGGGCCGCGAAGCGGGCAGCGAGCGGGCGGGCGGGCTGCGAAGCGGGCGGGCCGCGAAGCGGGCAGCGAGCGAGCGGGCTGCGAAGCGGGCGGGCCGCGAAGCGGGCAGCGAGCGGGCGGGCGGGCCGCGAAGCGGGCAGCGAGCGGGCGAGCGGGCTGCGAAGCGGGCGGGCCGCGGAGCGGGCAGCGAGCGGGCGGGCGGGCTGCGTGGCGGGCGGGCCGCGAAGCGGGCAGCGAGCGGGCGGGCGGGCTGCGAAGCGGGCAGCAGGACGAGCGGGCTGCGAGCGGGCGGCTCGGCGGGCGGGCGACACTGCGAGGGGCGCGCGAGGGCGCTAGTGAGGGGCGCGCGAGGGCGCTAGCAAGGGGCGCGCGAGGGCGCTAACGAGGGGCGCGCGAGGGCGCTAACGAGGGTGCGCGCGAGGGCGCTAATGAGGGGCGCGCGAGGGCGCTAACGAGGGCGCACGAGGGCGCTACGAGGCTAGGGCACGGGGTAGCGTGGTAACCGCATGCGAGCGGTGGTGGGCCCTTAAAAAAAAAACGGTCGGTAGGTCCTAGGGACCTCCTGCTCTGAATACCATTTCAGAATAGCTAGGCAAGAATGATTGAACTAGCAGAAGTTTGGGTACAAATATGAAACCCTAGTTGGGGTTGTACCCCATATTGGCTACCCCACTACAGCCTACAAGCATAATACAGTTTAACACTTGCTCTACAGAACGCTACTGCACATAACTCGTGCTCCACTCCACCCCACTCCTCTCCACACACCACTCTCGTGCTGCTGTCCTGGTTCTGCGTAGCGCGTTGCGCAACTCTCCTCGCCTGGTGGCAGGCAGGCAGTCCCATTGTCCGAATTCTATCATGAAGTGGCCCAGCTAGTTAGCTGGTTCACTTCCGAAAGATGAGGTCCCGGGATCAAATCCCCCCTGCGGCGTATTAGCCAGTCCCCACTAAAAGGGACTACACAGGTGCTCATCTGGGAGTGGATATAACAACATCGATACCCAGCGAGGAGTGTAAACAAATGGGTAGGCGGGTTACGACCGACAGCCAGGGTAACACCAAAGGGGGTTTCCCCTAAAACCTTTACCTTCACCTTTACCCATTGTCCGAATTCCTGACGTCGGAGCGAGGGACCAAAACGAAACTGATGAGATTGTGTGAGATGAGATGAGATTAGAGCGTGTTACACATGCCCTATCTTCAAGGATTACATAGCTGAGATCACCGATACCCCAACCGTAGGATTACGAGACAGTCGCGATCATTGGATATTTCCATTGACCATGCTGACAGCGTTACTGGCCCGAAATCAACAGCCTCATTGGTTCGAATTCCATCAAAAGAATGCTCTGATTAGTCGCGATTTTGTTACAAAAGTTTGAGACATCAAACTTTTCGTCATCAAGGATCACCTTGTCTTTGGTACAAAGATGCAAGGATCACCGAGAGATTGGCAGTCACCATGATCTCTCAGAAAACACCAAGATCGGGTTGCATAGGGAACTCGTGATTTCGATCCTTCCTCTGTTGGTACATCACCTGACACAGTGATTACTGTACAGTGGTCGGTATGACACTGTTTCGTAAGGTTCGCCTGCGTGATCCTCAAAATGCAGCAATCTTTGCTTGGGTGTAACACGCTCTTGCTTCCTGCCTTCCGAACTTCCCGCACGAGGCTGGATCACGAGCGAGGCAAAGCAATCAAAAGCACACAACAGCGTGTCACCTCCGAGTCCTCATTCCGCTTTTCCTAGCACTGACATACTGACAGCAAAGGAGATAAAAAAGACACGAGTTCTTGCAGATGTAACAAACTGGCAGCAGCCCTGCCTGGTTTTTGTACTGTAATTACTTCCAGGTCCACGCATCGTCTTAGTCGCTTGCTGCTCCGCTCGTCGCATGCGTGACGGATCGCCGCCATTAGTACAACCTGTCGGCGCGCAATCAGTCTGGTCTTTACTGTAGTACTAATTCTGGTACCCACGCAACTCCACTCCTCTTCGGACCTCCCCTCACGCCCCATTGCCGAGGTTTTTCGATACAGTGACAGTGCTCTAGGGTTCAGAGTGACAGTGACCGCAACCCCAGCACAGTTACCCCCAACTCACTCTCATCAGAACCTCGTTAGAACCTCGTCACCATCCTCGTCGTATCTTCGTCAAACCTTCCTGCAACTCGACGTAGGGCTGCGCCGCGCCTCGCTTCGCCAGCACCGGTGATCGAGACGGCCTGCAGCGGCAGGTGCCGGCCACCATGAGAGAGATCGGCACCAGCGGCGCTCGATAAAGTAAGTGATCGATAATGTAACATCTCGAATCGCGGTAATCGTCGGCTCGGGCCGGTCTTTCATCGTTTGTAACAAGTATTCGCGTTGATTATCGAGATTATCATCGTTTTGCCTCAAACATAGGTACCAATGTTCGGATCAAGCCTATCTTACATCGTTTCCGCTGTTGATTTTTTATGATTGGAACAAACCCGTGGGCTTGGTGGGTTGGGTTGTCGTAGCAAACTCTCTTCCCTCGCCTGCCTGAGTTGTGTCGTGTTGGAACATTATTCTGTCGTGTTGTTCCTCGTCATGTTCGTCGATCCCGACGGGTCCATCGGTTCCCCGTCATGTCATTTCGCGCGTTGTGGACGCAACTGTTTTCGGGAAGCCTAGTAACGGACGAGCGGGTTCACCCGCTCAAAACACGAGCCTCTAACCTCCGCATCTCACTCCCCTTGTTCGCATGACATCTCAGCGGCCCCTATCTCGCGTCGTTCTCGTTGCATATGACCTCGTTCAGTTTGTCGACCTATCAGTTTCTCGTGTCTCCCTCTCTCGTCGTTTCGTCTGAATGCGACAGTCTGATTCGTTGCTTTGCCTTCACAGCGAAATGATACGATCCGTATCGTTGCCCCTGACTCCTCCCTCTCTGGTGCCTTCAGGACCCTCGGATCCGCTTCCGAATATCGACGATCTTGTAACTAAGAGATCGGACGGCGGGTGTTCGATCGGACGAATAAGCGCATCGAGCGCCGAACGGCTGAAGTAGTCGCCGAATCTTGACGTTTCGCTTGGAAGCAGCGGATTCGCGACAGCAAATAGTACGAATGAGTCGACAACTAAAGCGATAGCGCGGGATCAAGCCTGCAAGCAATCTTTGTCAGAGGCATCTCGAGAATCGAGCCAACTCGTAGACGCTTCAGATTTTCTTGGCGATAGTTTTTCAATCGGAGACGGATCTGGCTATATCGAGGTTTGACATTGTTCAGAGCCCCAACACAAGCCAAGTCGATTTCGCTAGCGCGCAGATTCGGTCGGGGTTGGGTTCGGCGATCAGCGATTGTAACTCGCATTCGCGAAACCGTTGTTGCGAAGTATTCAATGGTGGCTGCAGCTGAAATGTGATTGCAGCTGTGATTATAGCGCGTGAGAAATTTGGCTCCTCGGCCAGTCCGCTTGACCTTTCGGCGTGGATGAGATTTAGGTTAACCCCAAGATTCGCTGAAAATAAAATCCTCGAATGCTGCAGTCCTCGTAATCATGGCGGCCTCGAATCTTACGATTGTAGGCTGAATGTGACCCTGTCCGAAACCTGACTCACCACAAGTTTCCACCACGACTGCGTTTCTTCCCTGGGTTCCCTTATCCCTCCGCAAATCTGCTCCTGAGTTGAAAGATTAGGGTTTCCACCCGCCATCCCCGTTTCTCCTACCCCTTCTCCCCCTTAACGCCTTAGCAGCCCGCCTGCTTCTCCGCAGCTGTGCCGCGCCTCTCCTCCTTTTTCGCGCAGCACCCCAACCTCGCGGGCCTGCAACCCCGCATCCGCGCGACCCGCGGACGACTGCGCACTTAGGTTTTCCCGCGCCCTCCCTCTAACAAGCATGCAGCCTCCGCATCGGCCATCCGCGCCCGCCTCGTCGCAACCCCATCTGCTCCCGCAAACCCCCCCCTACCCCGCACAAGTCTCCCCCTATCCCGCGCAAGGCTCCCCTTACCCCACACAAGCCTCCTCCTACCCCGCACTAATCTCCTCCTATCCCGCACAAGGCTCCCCCTATCCCGCGCAAGGCTCCCCCTACCCCGCTCCCCCGTCCACTCCGCCTCCGCTCCCCTTTGACATAGTCCCGTCCGCGGAGGGGGAAGGCTTTGAGCGGAAGCGGTCTGGGGGGGGTGCAGGCGGGATGGATGGGGGAGGCAGAAGGGGAGGGGGAGCGGGAGGGGACGGGGGAGGGGGAGGGGAAACTGGAGCAGGAGGGGGAGCAGGAGGCGGAGAGGAAATGCTTTTAGATTCGGTGCTTTTAATACCGTGTTCCAATATAGGGGGGTCAGGAGGAGGGTCTAGTGTCCTAAACAAGGGCGTGTTCAGTCACGGCATGGGGGGTGCGGGTGTGTTCAGTCACGGCATGGGGGGTGCGGGTGTTGAAAGGAACCCCAACGCGAACCACCATCCGCACAATGGGCATAGTCAGCAGCAGCAGCAGCAGCAGCAGCAGCAGCAGCAGCAGCAGCAACAGCAGCAGCAGAGTCAGGCGTATTGGCGTCAAAGCGCAAGTGTTTCGTCAGGTGCTGCCACTGTTCCAGGTGCCGTTTCTGCCGGACCTGCTGCCATGCCTGCTGCCATGCCTGCTGCCATACCTGCTGCACAGGAGCGTGCTACAGAACAAGCCGGAGCAATGGTGACAGCAGCAACAGCAGGAGCTGGAAGGGCAGGAGGAGCAGTAGCAGCAACAGCACCAGTAGCAGCACCAACACCGACGACAGCTGCAGCAGGAGCACCGCTGCCATCCCCGCGACACATGTTCACCCGGAAGAACAGCCGATCGTCAGACATTTCATCTCACCCTTCGGTTCTAGATGTGAGTGGATTGTAAGTCAACCAACTGGTCGATCTGTCAGTCGGTTCAAACAGTGTCCACTGCAGGAGCAGCAGGAGCACCGCCTGCCATCCCCGCGACACATGTTCACCCGGAAGAACAGCCGATCGTCAGACATTTCATCTCACCCTGCTCCCCTCTCTCCCTCCCCCCCCCAGCTCACCTTCCGCGCCCTCCCCCCAAGGGACCTGGCAGCAGCAGCGCGTGTGCGCCGCGAGTGGAGAGCAGCAGCTACGAGCGAGCCCCTGTTGACCCCCTTTGACCCCCTTTGACCCTTTTGACCCGCTTCCTCCCCCCTCTTCCCCCCCCCCTCCAGCTCACATTTCGGGCCCTCCCCCCAAGGGACCTGGCAGCAGCAGCGTGTGTGTGCCGCGAGTGGCGAGCAGCAGCTACCAGTGAGCCGCTCTGGCACCGCCACACCATCGCGCTCTGGCCTGCTCTCGCCAGCCCTGCCGTGGCCCGTCGGGTCTCAGACTCGTGTGGCTTCTACCTCTTTTACAGGTAAACTGTCTGTGCTTCTGTCACAGGTAAGGGTGTGTGCCGCTGCTGGCACTTGTGTTTCTGTACACATGTTTGTTGGTCTCTCTCCTTCCCGCCCTCTGGCACCGCCACACCATCGCTCTCTGGCCCGCCCTCGCCAGCCCTGCCGTGGCCTGTCGGGTCTCAGACTCCTGTGACTTCTGCATCTTTTACAGGTAAGCTGCTGCTGCCACCTGCTAATATCTACACAGGTTATATCTCTGTACACAGCTTTGTTGGTCTCTTCCTCTCCCTCTCTGACACCGCCACACATCGCTCTCTGGCCCGCCCTCGCTAGCCCGGCTGTGGCCCGTCGCGGGTCCGATTCCTGTGGCTTCCTACCATTCTACAGGTTAGGCTGATTTCGCTGCACAGTGCCTGCCTGTAGCGAGCCCCTCCCCTGGTGCTTCTCCCTCTCTGGCACCGCCACACCATCGCTCTCTGGCACCGCCACACCATCGCTCTCTGGCACCGCCACACCATCGCTCTCTGGCACCGCCACACCATCGCTCTCTAGCACCGCCACACCATCGCTCTCTGGCACCGCCACACCATCGCTCTCTGGCACCGCCACACCATCGCTCTCTGGCACCGCCACACCATCGCTCTCTGGCACCGCCACACCATCGCTCTCTGGCACCGCCACACCATCGCTCTCTGGCACCGCCACACCATCGCTCTCTGGCACCGCCACACCATCGCTCTCTGGCACCGCCACACCATCGCTCTCTGGCACCGCCACACCATCGCTCTCTGGCACCGCCACACCATCGCTCTCTGGCACCGCCACACCATCGCTCTCTGGCACCGCCACACCATCGCTCTCTGGCACCGCCACACCATCGCTCTCTGGCACCGCCACACCATCGCTCTCTGGCACCGCCACACCATCGCTCTCTGGCACCGCCACACCATCGCTCTCTGGCACCGCCACACCATCGCTCTCTGGCCCCGCCACACCATCGCTCTCTGGCCTCGCCACACCATCGCTCTCTGGCAGCGCCACACCATCGCTCTCTGGCACCGCCACACCATCGCTCTCTGGCACCGCCACACCATCGCTCTCTGGCACCGCCACACCATCGCTCTCTGGCACCGCCACACCATCGCTCTCTGGCCCCGCCACACCATCGCTCTCTGGCACCGCCACACCATCGCTCTCTGGCACCGCCACACCATCGCTCTCTGGCACCGCCACACCATCGCTCTCTGGCACCGCCACACCATCGCTCTCTGGCACCGCCACACCATCGCTCTCTGGCACCGCCACACCATCGCTCTCTGGCACCGCCACACCATCGCTCTCTGGCACCGCCACACCATCGCTCTCTGGCACCGCCACACCATCGCTCTCTGGCACCGCCACACCATCGCTCTCTGGCACCGCCACACCATCGCTCTCTGGCACCGCCACACCATCGCTCTCTGGCCCGCCCTCACCAGCCCTGCTGAGGCCCGTCGGGTCTCGGACTGCTGTGGCTTCTACTCCTTCTACAGTTAAAGAGTTTGTGCTTCTACCTCTGACTCGTTGGTCTGTGCGGCTTCTGGCACTTGTATTTCTGTACACTGGCCCGTCAGTCTCTCTCCCCTCTGGCCTGCCCCCGCCAGCCCTCTCCACCCCTTTACCCACCCTTTGCCCTTTTCCGATCCCCTCCTCCCTTCCCATCTCCTTTTCTTTCAGGAAACTATCGCCCCGGGTGGACCTCCCCGCTGCCCTTCCACCTGGACTATCTCACGTTCGTCTTCGACCTTCCTCGTCCTCCTTCCCTGACTTTCCTTCTTTGATCCCTCTTCTTCCCCTCCTACTCCTTTTAGGAAACGCTTTCCCCGTCCCAGTAGGGCCTCTCCACTGCCATTCCACCTGGACGATCTCACATTCTTCTTCGACCTTTCCTTCCACGGTTCCCCCGTCTTCTCCCAAGCCTTCAAGTACGAAGGCGGCCGCGCCCTCGTCCCCTTCTCCGCTTCCTTCTATCCAACAAACCCTATTTCTTCTCATCCTTTTCCCCTCTCCTCCCCCTTTTCCCCTTCCCTTCCCCCTCCCCCTCCCTCTCCCCCTCCCCATCCCCTCATTCCCCCCCTCTTTCAGAAAGCGTTTCCTCCGCCCCGGCCGCGCCTCCCCGCTGCCCTTCCACCTGGACGATCTCACATTCTTCTTCGACCTCTCCTTCCACGGCGCCCCCGTCTTCTCCCAAGCCTTCAAGTACGAGGGCGGCCGTGCCCTCGTCCCCTTCGCCCACCACACCTTCTCAGACCCGACCGCCATCTTCCCCTCTATAGAAGCACTCGATAAGGACTCCTTTCGGCGCTCTTTAGCTGTAAACTGGACAGTATTGCGGAGGACGGACGGGAGAGGTTCGTGCTTGGTGCGGGCTTGTCCCGACAGGGTGGGGCAGGCGTTACTGGTGTTGGATAAGGATATGTTGCTGCCGCTGCCGGCATTAGCAGCAGCAGCAGCAGCAGCGGCGGCAGCAGCAGCGGCAGCAGCGATTGCATGGGTCGGGAGGGAGTGGTGGGGGGCAGAGCGGCTCTAGTGGTGGTGCAAGTGGTGCTGTCGGCGCTGCTGCTGCTCCTGTTGGTGCTGCTGGTGGTGGTGCTGGTGTGATTGGTGCTAGTGCTGCTGCTGCTGGTGCTACGGATACTGCAGGTGCTCCTTCTGCTGGAGGAGCGGGAGAGGGTCTGGTGCTAACTCTTGGTTTAGGCTGTGGGGATGGGGCACCTGGAGCAGCAGCCGGAGGAGGCAGTGGGCAGCAGGAGGGGACGCATGTGCCTGGTAATGGGGCAGGTGGGCAGCAGCAATCGTTTGACTCGTCCTTGAGTAGAGATTCGCAAGCAGGAGCAGCTGTTGGAGCAGCAGGGGCAGGGACAGCAGCAGCGCAAGCAGGAGCAGCAGCAGCACATGACACTCACTTAAGAGGGAGTGGGCCAAAGGAGCAGGTGCAGGTTCCGGCACTTAAAATGGTGTTTAACACTGCGTTAGGGGGGCTGGTGGGGCAGGTGTTTTACGGTATGATGAAAGTGTCTTTCACACTGCCTCTCCAGGAGAAGCTTATACCTGCCAGCAGCAGCGGCAGCATTGGAACCGGCGGCAGCAGCAGCAACACCAACCTAATGGGTGCTGCTGCTGCTGCTGCCGCTGCTGCGGGTGTTGCTGCCGCCGCTGCCGCAGCAGGAGGGGCAGGAGGGGCAGCCAATGTGGAGATGACACCTGTCAACGTTCTGGCTCGCACGGGGGCGATGGAGGTGAATCTAACGGCTCTCAAGGACAGGTTGGGAGGGACTGTGCGGGTGGATATTGCTGGGAAGGAGTTTCTGCTAGTGCTGTCTGCGCTGCAGTGGGAGTGAGACCGGTGTGTGAGGGTGTGTGTGGTTGAGAGTGCGTGAAAGAGTGGGTGAGAGTGTGATATCCTCTCAAGGACTTTAGGGTTTAGGGACTGTGTGGGTGGATATCGCTGGGAAGGAGTTTCTGCTGGTGCTGTCTGCGTTGCAGTGGGAGTGAGACTTGGTGTGTGAGGTGATGGATGCTGGCCCTGTGAAGGGAAAACCAGAGATTCTGTTGGTGCTGTCTGCGCTGCCGAGGGGTTGAAAGGAAGGAGCTGAAGAAGAGAGAAAAGGAGTGGACTTTGCAGGGGTCCTCTAGGTGAGGCGTTTTTGAGAAACCTCAAAAGCGACTCCAACGTAAACCGCTAGGAAAGAGTGTTGGTTCATGCAGTGTGTGCTGCAGTGGGAGTGAGAGGCAGTGTGAGAATGGGCGGTAGATTGAGTGCGGTAGTGGGGGAAAGGGTGCGTGCGTGTGCGTGTGGGACTGAGCTAGCAGGGGCCAGCAAAGGGGGTGTGTGGTGTGGGTGTTGATATTGCTGGGAAGGGGTGTCGCTTGTGCTGTCTGCTGCTGCAATTCGGCTGGCTTGTTGGGAGAGTTATAGGAAGTGGAGATATATAGCTGCTCTCATGGGCCAGCTGGTGGTGCTGTAGAAGGGGAATTTGGATTAGGTCAATAGCATCACATAACAAATGCACTGCACACACTGTAACAACAGCAGTGCCTACCTGCTTGTCCTGTAGCTTCCTGAGTTCTGACGCTCATTCCTAGGGCTGTGTTGTAGGAAGATTAATAGAATATGCGCTTTAGCACGAGAATCTTTCTCAGCAGTGCTTGAGTAGTGTCTGGATTTGCTGAGGACATACAATCAACATGTAGTGAATCTACTGATTTTCAGTACCGTAAGTGTAACGGGCAATTCATGAAGCCATTTTCAATCGGTACTTTCCGCTTCATCCGGTTTCCCGCGCAAACGAACCGTTGGTGACAAGATGGATGCGACAACACATCCATTTGGTGATTCACGGAATGACAAACATCATGGCCATCATCGTTCGCGACAACAGTTTGCGATTTTGCCGCCAATCTGTCGTAGTCAGTTGAGGCATAGAGGCCTTCGCGACAGCATTGGTTTCTTCGCAAGGGCTTTCGTTCTCGGGCTTCTCGATGTTGAAGTGTTGTGCCGAACGCTCACACCCCCTCTTTGCTGGGGGAGAGCATCTTTGCTTGCTTTCACACGTGTTTTGTCAGAACCAGAACTCCCCTAGCTTTTGAGTTAGGAGGACAAGGTGACATTTCTTGAAGCCATTGTCGTTGTTGAGGTAGCTATTCGGTTGTTTCCTGTTTGTGGACATGCAAATCGTTGCTCATTGGTCGACTTGGACGGACACCGGGATTTTAGTTCCGTCTGATTTCATACGGATTCAACTTCACTCTATTCCTAGTCTACTCAGTAGATGCTTGGTGTTGGAACTCGAGCATGAGCTCCCCACCATCTGACGCAATAGACCGTATTCTGGAAGAACTAACTGCGAACAAACTCCCTTCCGCTTCCCTAGCCTCAGACCCTGTCAGTAAATCCGTCTCTAGCTCCGTCGGGAGAACAGACAGCAGCGATACCCGGACGGATCTTGACCTTTCAGGAACGGATCGAACGGCTCACAACCCCGTTGAGTCGACGAGGAGTCCGCTGGCGTCAGAAGCTCTAGTCGACGCCCTGGCGGTCAACGGGGATGTTAATGGAGGGTCGGGAAAGCGGAAAATAAAGAGCAGTAGTAGTAGCGAGTTTCAGGCTGCGATGGAGAGTCTGATGTCGCCGGCGTACCAGTCAGCGTCGGAGTCCATCGATGCGTCGCCGTCGTACACGCCGACTGCTCAGTGGACCGGCACCCTGGGAAAGAAACCAACGCCGCCTAATGTAAGTTCCATCGGTATCCAGTTTTTGGTAACCGCTAAGATCATGAATCCGGTGTCGTTCACGAATCAATGGATCCTAAGCCTTTCGAGAATATGTCAGTTCGACATCGTCAAGGAACCAGTCAGGACGATGGCGTCATCAGTCCGTCTGGTGTCGCCGTTGGAGTGCGTCTGTTGTCGCGAGCTCGTCTTTCAACAAAGCTCGTTTCAACAGTCCGGCGTCGTCAACGGTAGTTGGTATACTTACGTGGCATGTCAAGCTATCGTCTCTGTGAGCTGAAAAACTGTCAGAAACGTTTTTCGTCTGCCACATCGGCCAGTCATCAACAATGCACGGACATCGTTTGGTTCCACAGCTCCACATACAGCCGCCATTGTTGCTGAAAAACGAACTCTCGAGTTTTTTTACCCCCAACGATCATCGGATGGCTCTCTGGTCTCATGATACCATGTCTTGGAGTCTCTCAGGCGACTCCCTGGTGACTTCCTTAGGTGAATCCTCATTGTGGTACATCTTTTCCCCGGTCCAGCCTGTATACCCTCCATGTGATTCCTTCTCGTAACTCTCACCTCCTCCACTACAATTGTCCGTTACTACCAACTCATTTGTTTCTGCGTGTTTCGTTGTGTCGCCCAACAGAGCTTGGGCAGGACCAAGGGAATCGCTGACCTGGAGAGAGAGATGGAGGAGCTCCGAGCGAGTTACCAACAGGTACGGTATGGATGCTTCACATGAGTCCTCGCTGCTGCTTCTCATCAAACCTGTTCTGCTGTCTGTCATGAACCCTCAGGGTTCTCAACTTGCCCCCATGGAACCTGATTTTTTTTTTGTTTTCTTGGGAGTGAGTCTGTGAACCTTTGTCCCTGTGCCGCCTCCTTGGCTTGGCATTGTTCCCGCGCCAATGCTGCATGTCGTATGGACCTGTTTAACAATAATGTTCCTGAATGCTTGTGTGCGAGGAGAGGGATACGCTGGACGGCCTGCTGCTGCAGGCGATTTCTTAGGGGCTTTAAGATTTGAGTGCCCGGGTACTAGCGTTGTCCCCATCAGAAATGACCATTGCGTGCCCGTATACTTGTTTTGACCTTTGAGTGACAAACACGTGCAGGTGTGCGAGGAGAGGGATGCATTGGAAGACCTTCTACTGCAGGAGCAGCTCAAGAACCGAACGCCAGCGGTAAGTGGACCGAACTCCATTAGTATAAGTGGTGACACGAACGCAACAGTGTGTGAATCGAACACAACAGTGAGTGATTCGAGCACAGAAGTGAGTGAACAAAACAGATCAGTGGGTGATTCGAATGTCGTGCCATTGTTCCTCCTCCTCAAATCCCCCCTCATGCCTCTCTCTCCTCATGCCCCCACTCCTCATGTCCTTCTTCTTACCCCGTCTCATACTCCTCCTCACACTCCCATTGCCAGGACAAGCAGCTAGAGGAAGCCAAAGCCCATGCAGCAGCGTTGGAGCTTGAGCTGAGATCCATGGCTGCCCGATGCGGTGAGTTAAGGTCCACGGCGTCTAGATGTAGCCAGTCGCTGGGACATGTTGCAGCATGTGCTGATGCGTTACAGCACCATTATTTGCCACTGGATCTCGTCCAATTGATTAATCTACCGTGTTTCAAAAGTTCCACCCACCCACCCCCTTCTTGTACCATCCGCGCCTGCCCTTCCGTCCCCTTGAAATTCGGGCAGAGGAGTGGAAGCGCCGGGCAGCGCAGCGGGCAGCTGAAATGAATCCAGCCATGGTGCAGGCGCTGCTGGAGGAGCGGCTGGAAGATTTGGATGAATCAGGAACGATTAAGATACAGGTGAGCTGTTTTTCAGGCATGATAAAGGTACTGGTGAAATGTGATGAGGTTTTTTGGAAATATGAATTCAGAATCTTTCCTTCTTCACCACTCCTGAACCCTTGTTTCACTGTTCCTTCAACCCGACCCTCATACTATTACAGCCTCAACTCCTTTTGTTGAACCGATATGTTTCTACCGTCTTGTATCCACTTCCATTTTTTGCTAGCCCTGTCCTTCTCCATACCCTTTTTCCGTCACTCATTTCTTCCCCCTGTCTAAGTGCCCTGACCGTTCCCCGTCCAATCCCCATGACTTCCTCTCCCCTCAACCCCGCTCTCAGATGGAGGTGGCTCGCCTGCGCGACGAGCTTGCCAAGTCCGAGGTGCTGCGCTTTGAGCTCTTCCGCAGCACACAAGAGGGAGCAGGTGGGCATAGTGAGGGCAGGAGGGGCCAAGTGTTGTTGGGTTCATGAGGAACCGGGTATGGTATGTGCCTTTTTAGCTCAAGGACTTTTGAAATCCGAGGTGCTGCGCTTTGAGCTCTTCCGCAGCACACAGGAGGGAGCAGATGGGCATAAGCCGGAGGGAGCATGTGGGTCTGTTGAGGGCAGGAGGGAGCAGGTTGGTGGGCAAAAGGGGCCAAATTGTATAGTGGGGCACGAGGAACGGGGTATGTGTGCGTGTCTTTTCAGCTCTAGAACTTGCCGTGCCCGAGGTGCTGCACTTTGAGCTCTTCTCTTTCACTACACTGCAGAACCTCCAAAGGGCCCCAAGCACGCACTCTCAACTCAACTACAAGCCATGGGAGGTAGCAAATAAGTTCTTGTTCAACTCCAAGCTATGCCCCCTTATATCCCATCCCTACCAGCCACGAACAGCAAGTGGGAGGCGGAGGAGGAGGGGCTGAAGCAGCAGATGGAGGAAGTGGATGCAGGCAGGGAAATCAACAGGTGAGAGACGGAGGGGACGATCAGGGGCTGAGAGCATGGTAGGGGACGATCAGGGGCTGAGAGCATGTAGGAGCATGGTATGAGCATGGTATGGGCATGGTATGAGCATGGTATGAGCATGGTATGAGCATGGTATGAGCATGGTATGAGCATGGTATGAGCATGGTATGAGCATGGTATGAGCATGGTATGAGCATGGTAGGAGCATGGTAGGAGCATGGTAGGAGCATGGTAGGAGCATGGTAGGAGCATGGTATGAGCATGGTATGAGCATGGTAGGAGCATGGTATGAGCATGGTATGAGCATGGTATGAGCATGGTATGAGCATGGTATGAGCATGGTATGAGCATGGTATGAGCATGGTATGAGCATGGTAGGAGCATGGTAGGAGCATGGTAGGAGCATGGTATGAGCATGGTATGAGCATGGTATGAGCATGGTATGAGCATGGTATGAGCATGGTAGGAGCATGGTATGAGCATGGTATGAGCATGGTATGAGCATGGTAGGAGCATGGTATGAGCATGGTATGAGCATGGTATGAGCATGGTATGAGCATGGTGGAACACGCTAGCAGCAGATGGTGGAAGTGGATGCAGGCAGGAATATTCAACGGGTGGGAGCCGGAGGCGTGCTAATAGTTGGGAGCGTGCTAGGGCATCATAGCAGCATGATAACAGCTCAGGAGCATGATGGTGCAAGGCACGATATGGGCATGATAGCAGCATGAATGGTACTACTTTTTTCCCTTCGATTTCTCACACCCCTTCTTCTGCCTGTGTCCTTGTTATGGGTGGTTGCAGTAAGAGCATTGATGAAATCCCAGATAGCACCGTTTGGAGAGAAGCCCAGGGCATGGTACGGTGTTGTGGAGTGTAGTGTGGTGTGTTTAGTGTAGTGGCACTGAATTTGCTGCAAGCATTGCAGTGCTCTTTAATGCGGTTCAGTAGCGTGTGGAAATGTGCAGTGTGATGCAATGTGACTGTGCCACTGCTTTCCTCATCACCGCTGACTGCCGCTCCCCATCCCCTTCCAACCCTCATAACAGGAAGAAGCAGAGGACTTGATGCAGGAGCTGCTGGAGATGGGGCAGGCATCCCTGAGCCAGCAGGACGTGGAGCGCCTGTCAGAGGCCGTGGAGGTATGCTTTGACTTGACACCCAATGATCTCACAGTTGTGCGTGTTTGGTTAGTACCAGTGGTGCAGCCATGTCGCAGGTAGCCACAACGGCAGGTAACCATAACGGGTAGGGGCAGGCGAGCCTGAGCCAGCAGGATGTGGAGCGCCTGTGAGAGGCCATGGAGGTATGCTTTGATCGACCCCCAAGGACCTCACATGCATGTGTGGTTGAGGGTGGAAGCGGCTCGAGGCTCGAGCATGTTGCAATTAGCCAGATTGTATAGGGGTAGAGGCTGAGGAAGGCGAGCCAGGTGCCAGCTGGATGGGTAGAGGCAGTGGAGGTATGCATGGGGCCCCCTAAGGATCCAGCAGACATGCATGATGGATTGGTATATGCGGCGAAGGGATGTTGTAATCAGCTGAAGATCTCCACACTCCTCACTCACAGCTCTCTCCTCCCTCCTCCCTCCTCCCTCCTCCCTCCTCTCTCCCTTCCCTTTCCCCCTCTCGCTCTTTGCTCTCCTCGTCGTTCCCCCCTTGTTCTCTGACTCCATATTTTCCCAGGCTGCACAGCACACAGCAGTGGATGCCGAGAGGACTTTTGAGGCACCTCAACAGCAAACTCTTTCCTGCTTCCTTGCTCCTCACTCTCCTCGTCGTCCCCCCCATCATTCTCTGTCTCCATTCTTTCCCAGGCTGCGGAGCACAGAGCAGTGGAGGCTGAGAGAAGGGCAGTGCAGGCAGAGAAGGAAGCTTCTGAGAAGGCAATGCAAATAAGGGTGCTGGAGGCGAAGCTAACAGCACTGCTGGTGAGAGAAGGCTATCGGACTCTGCGTATTTGAGGTGTTTCAACGGCCAACTCACTATTTGGCCTTACATGCAAGAGATGCGTTTTACTGGTTGTTCTCTTCTCTTCTCTTCTCTTCTCTTCTCTTCTCTTCTCTTCTCTTCTCTTCTCTTCTCTTCTCTTCTCTTCTCTTCTCTTTTCTTCTTATCATTACCTCCTCTCTTCCCTCATCCTTCCCCACGAACGTGACACGATTCCTCCCCTCCCCTCCACCCTTTTCCCTCCCCCCCTTCGCCCTTGCATGCTCTCCCCTCTGTCCTGCCCTCGCCTCCTTATCTGTACTTCTCACATTATCTGTACTTATCTGTACTTTTTGTTCTCTCCTTCCCATCCTGTTCCTTCCTCTTCCTGTCTCTTCTCCCCTTCTTTTTCTCTCTCTCCACCCCTTCACATCATATTCACATTGCTTCCTGCAGGGGGGAGAAGACACATCAGCAATAGCATCTGCTCCTTACCACCACCAAGCCCTGTCATCCTCCTCCTCCCTCTCCTCCCGTCCCCTTCCCTCCACCTCCACCACTGTCAAAAGTAACCCCGCCACTGCCACTTCTGCCCCCACCCAAGTCCCAACCACCACCAATGCTTCTGCTTCTGCTGCCACTTCATCCGTCCATGCTCTGGCCAATGGAATCACGCCACGGGTCAGCAACACAGATGACGTGGCAGGAGGGGTGCGTGACGTGTCGAGGAGGAGAGCTGACGTGGCGAGGGAGAGTGCTGGGAGAAGGGAATCTGTGTTGGTGATTGGAAGTGAAGATGGGGCCAGTGCTGTTGGCAAGGGGATTGGTGGGGTCAGGGGGGTTGGGAGTGAGGTGGAGAGCAGTGCAGGGGAGAGTAAGGGGGAGAGTGCGGAGGAGAGTGGGGGGGATAGTTTGAAAGAGCTTGCAGCAGCACAGATTGCAGATGTTGAGGAGATTCGGGAGATTGTTCATCGTGTTCAGGTATGCACATTTCTTTTATGTACACCTCCCTTTGATGTTTGTATAGTTGCATGCCTACTTTCTCTCCCAGTTTGTTTTGTCTCTGCCATTATTTTTTTTGTTTTGTTTTTTTCTTTTTGGGTGACGCTTTGCTCACCTACTGATACGCTTTTGTTGTGTCTTTCCATTCCAATGCAGGGGCAAAATCGACTCACGCATTTACTCTTGACGGTTGTCTTCGCGGCATCTGTCCCACGGGTTGTCGACATGGTTAAGAACCTTCTGGGAAGCAAACAACGGCCACGATACACACGAATCACAACCCGGGCTGGACGGCCTGAAACTTTTGGTGAACGGTTTCCAGCCTAGAAAGAAAGAATGGAAAAAGTGGTTTCCAGCCTAGTATCAACATGGACGCCAGCCTCCCACAGAGCCGTAGATTGAGGATCAATCTGAGAAAACACCAGTTTTAGTACTGTACTGACAATGGCAGTTGTAAGAATATATTCATAATTATATAGCATACGGGGCAAATTTTATCAGTGTAAATCACCCTGATACCCTGATAATCAGGGTGGTTTTTGGTAGTCACACTGATGGCCCTGGGTGATTTTTTTAGGAGATAGGTTTTCCCTGATATGCCAGGGTTTACATTTAAGGCACACTGATGACTAAGGGTTCCCGAATCCCATAACGAGTTTTACCCTGAAACGAGTACCCTACCCTTCGGGCCCCCCAGTACCCCCACCCCTCCTTTCCCGTAACCCGGGATTCCAGATTGCCAACAGTCGAAGCAGGAATTTCTGCCTTGACAACGCATGTGCTGGCACACAGTGGGCCACCATTGGCCAGACTTACAGTCTCTTTGTAGGCAGCGCCACCAGCTCAACTCGGTCTGTATGTCTGACATGACAACACGACTGGGTTAGCAGGAAATTTGGCTGAGTGCAGCAGCAAGTCGGTGCCCACTAGCCCACTGGGCACCGCGGTCGGGGCACGACTGTGGATGGCTCTGCAGTTCGTTTGCGTGCACGTTAGGAAACATATGCGCTCGGGACTGGGGGCACGAGCACGGTTGAGGTCTCTCCTATGGAAACGAGAAACCTCACGCTCAGTTGGGCGGTACCATCAAATTTTACAATGATGAGGGCTCAGTTGAGAAACACTGTGTCAAACAATATGTTTAATATATACCCTGCGTGCTGTAGTTACTGTAGTTATTATTATTAAGAGTTGGTGGTGCACCTTCTTTGTTGCTTTGCTATATGTACCTTGTGTGCTATAGTGAAACCCCTTCTTCTTTCTCGTAACTCTCTTGGCACAACTCCCTCGACACCCCTTGGCCTAGGCTCCTAAGCCTAGGCCCTCCTAAACTCATACATCCATTCTTCATTTTGACATGGTACAGAGCTGGTTCTTTCCCGGAACCTTCTCTTTTTTTTTAAGAATCATGGGCCCGCCCGTACTACAGCGCGAAATGCGCTTTTTTTTTTTTTTTTTTTCTCCCCGTTCGCCCGTCACGCGCGCCCTGCCCGTCCCCCCGAACGTGCCACGTCGGCTGCCTCGCGGACGCCCCGTCGGCTGCCCCGCGGACGCCCTGCCCGTCGCCCGCTGCCCCGCCGTTTCGTCGCCACGCGGCCCCCGTTTCGTCGCCCCCGTCACCCCGCAATCCGCCAGCGCGGAGGCCAGCGCCGCGGCCAGCCGCCAGCGCCAGCAGCAGCTACCGCCGCCCCACCCCCCCCCGCCCTCCCTTCCGCGGCTTCCGTCGTGGGGAGGGGGGAGGGGGGGGGAAGGGGTTGTGGGGGGGGGGCGGGTGTGAGGAGCCTGCCACTCCTCCCTCCCTTCCCTCTTCCTCTCTCCCTGCAGCAACTGTTGCTGTAGGGGGGGGGGGGGGGGAGAGAGGGTAAGGGGGGATGTGAGAGGGTAAGGGAGGAGGGGGAGATGTGTGGGTGGCGTGTGTGAGCTGCCTGCAGCCCGTCCCTCCCCTCTCTCTTACTGCAGGGATTGTCGCCGTAGAGAAGGGGGAGGGGGAGAGAAGTGCAGAAGGGTGAGGGGGTGGCGGGAGAAGACAGGTGCGGAAGGTGTGAGGTTGACGGGGTTGAGTGACGAGGGGGGTGAGGACTAGGGGGTTCTTAACGGGGGGGGATCGCATTGAGCGTGCGCGCTCATGCCCGCCTAGCCCACCTCCTCTCCTCATCGGGACTTGGGGGTTCTTAACGGGGGGGGATCGCTATGAGCTTTCGCGCTCAAGCCCGCCTAGCCCACCTCCTCTCCCTTCCCTCTCTCACCTCCCCTTTGTAAAAGGAGGTTCGTAAGCGGGTCCGCCGGTCCTGGCCCCCCACCTCCTCTCCTCTCCTCTCCTCTCCTCTCCTCTTCTCTCCTCTCCTCTCCTCTTCTCTCCTCTCCTCTCACCTTCCTCACTTCTCTGCCTTCTTCCACAGCGCTTGGTTTGCTCGTTCAGGGGGTGCTGGCTGCACCAGTTTCTACCGCACGCAGGCTAAGGGGGTGTGTCAAACAATATGTTTAATATATACCCTGCGTGCTGTAGTTACTGTAGTTATTATTATTAAGAGTTGGTGGTGCACCTTCTTTGTTGCTTTGCTATATGTACCTTGTGTGCTATAGTGAAACCCCTTCTTCTTTCTCGTAACTCTCTTGGCACAACTCCCTCGACACCCCTTGGCCTAGGCTCCTAAGCCTAGGCCCTCCTAAACTCATACATCCATTCTTCATTTTGACACACTGGTGCGACAGGGTAGATTTTACAAATCCAAGGAAAACCCTGATTGAAAAGGTTTTTTAAAAGGGGTCACACTGATAATCAAGTTTTTGACCTTGTGCTACACTGATCACAAGGGTTGGTCAAATCCAAAAATTTGCCCTGATAGCTATATAGAGCTCCTTCACAAGCTATTCAGTGTGTCTACATATGGAGGGTGATTTCTAGATGGATGCATTGGGGAAGCCTGGACTAATGGGTCAGAAAATTTGATAAGAAAAAAGTACATTTGAATACTCCGTATATGACATAATAATTCTGCTGAGTAACCTGAACGTTGTTTGTATCGCATCAAGCTTGCAATGGACACTGTACCTTGAAATTCCCGCCAAGCACCTTGCGCTCTGGTCGCCTGGTGTTCCCGAGGCGCACCCCTCTTGTCCTGACAGTTTTCCTTCGTCTGCTCGCTCCCAGCGAAGTTTAGTGCGTGTTTAGGGTAACTGGATAACGTGTTATGCGGAAGTTGCGTGCTATGCGTGGCAGATAGATCCCAGCTTCGTCTCCTGCTAGTTCGCAGCCTGCACGTGTGCGAACACGTGAGATGATCTAACATAGTGGCGACTAAAAAGCGCGAAGAGATGGCAGCTGCTGCGTATTTTCTTCTCGGTTTGGCGGTGTCTCTAGTGTCTGCTTCGCCGCTGTTACAAGGAGAAGGAGCTGAGGAATTAGTAACACGAAATTCGCTTAGGAGAGACTCGCTAAAAGATCATTCGCTAAGACGAGACGGTCAGCTGTCAAGAAAAGGAGGTGGACGGCAATTACTGCAACAGGATGGACGGCAAGCGGGCGGGTTCGGGTGGGAGGAGGTGGGCGGCGAGGCTCGTCGTGGAGTGGTGTGGTGGATGCAACTGTCGGACGTCCACGTCAGCGTGCACGTGCCTTCGAGAGCCAATGATCTGCTCGTGCACCTCGTGCCAGCTGTCCGCGTTATAGCGCCTGCTGCGCTTATAGTGTCTGGGGATCTCACAGGTGCGTGCGTGCTGAAAGGATTACATGTGCGTGCTATTGGGGTTACATGTTCGTGCTTATGTGGGTTATATGTGAGCGCTGATGCTGTTTCATATCCGTGTTGACGGGGTTTCATGTGCGTGCCTATGCCTCACTATGCCCCATCAGGTTCTATGCGTGTTTCTTAGCTTCTCTATCCCCCTCTTGTTTTCTTTTTAAACACAGCTGTTGTTGTCTCATGCCTTGTGTCCTCTTTCCGCCCCTTCCCTCCCCTTCCCTCCCATTTCATCCGCTTCAGAATCAAAGAACCATTAGCGCACAAGAACAGCCCAGAACGAGTCAGAATGGAACGCATACTCCTCTCTCCCTCTCTTTTACTTGTACATTTTCCCTCCTCTCCCCTCCCCTCCTGTTTGCACTCCAGAATCGAAGAATCGCCAGCGCACAACAACAGCCCAGAACGAGTCAGAGTGGCGCGCATGTTCCTCTCTTCCCTCCCCTCCTGCTCCTGATACCCTCTCCGCTACTCTCCTCTATCCTCCCCTTCCCTCCCCCATCCCCCCCAGAATCAAAGAACCGCCAGCGCACAACAACGACGCAGAACGAGTCAGAATGGCACTCCTATTCCCAAGCATTTCACGCCGTCAGCAGCGCAATCAACACCGCCCACCCACCCTGTTTCTGACACCTCTTCCCTCCTCTCCGCTCCTCTTTCCTCCTCGTCCCTCCCTTCCGCCCCCCCCCCCCCTCCACTTACAGAATCAAAGAACAGGCAGCGCACAACGACAGCCCAGAACGAATCCGAATGGCACGCATACTCCCAAGCAATGCACGCCATCAGCACCGCAATCAACTCCTCCCCCTCTCCCCCGCTCTCCCTCACCCCTCAATCCCAACAATCCGAGCAAACTCAAAATGACCCTCTTTTTCCTGGGCGTTCCTCGTGCATCCCCTTCCCCCGGGTGCTGGATCTGAGGGGCAATCATGACGCGTTCAGTGTGCCGATTCGGGGCGGCAAGGGGGATTTTTTTGGGCGGCAGAGTGTGAGCGCGCAGTGCGGGAGGGGGGGAGTGCAGGGGCTTGTGCTGCGGCCCTTCGAGGGAGACTCAGGGAAAGGTGAGACGTGGCGAGATGTGATGAGGAGTGGTAAGAAGTGGGTGGAACTGGTGGGAAATTGTGACAAATGGGCATCCTGGTTGGGCCTAAGGGACCTTCCATCTTCCAACGTCTTTGCTCACCCCACACCACCACACACCACCACACACCACTGTCTTGCCGCCCCCTTCCCTCCCCTCTTTCCTCCTATGGACCCAGCATCCCCATCCCCTCCCATTCTCCTGCTAGGTATCAAGGTTGCTTCCCACGTGGACCCAAGAGCGTCGTCAAGTTGCAACGTCTTTGCTCACCCCACACCAAAGCATACTACCCCACACCAAAGCATACCACCCCACACCAAAGCATACCACCCCACCAACTTGTCCTCCCTTACCCTCCCTCCTCCTGTATCCCCAGCGTCCCCATCCCCTCCCATCCTCATTCTAGGTATCCGCATTGCTCCTTGCATGGGCATCAGAGGACCCTAGAACCTGCAACTTCGTCACGCATATCTTGCCCCTCCATTGCTCCCTCTTTTCAATGTGTG